ATATTATTTATGTTTAACATTAGAAAGTAGGCCTAAATGTTACTACCATTAAAATGGTCATATTCAGTTCTGTTTCTAAAGAGATCCAGAAATGTTTTCCAGTTTGATATCTAATCTTTTTAAGTTATATGATGTTGTCTGATATTTTGGTCAAAATGGTGTTTTTGTCAAATAAAAGCAAGTTTAGCCATTTTGAGTTATTACTTTAGAAAATCTAAATCAAGTATGTTAAACAAGTTCTCATTGATCTGGATACTACTATTTTAAGCAGAACAAAATTGTATTTTATATTTTCAATGAAAGATAGAGCAAGCATTAAAATCCAATCCAACAGAACGCTTTGGAAACCCTTGGACACCATTAAACCCTCGTTCACCTTTTTGAGCACATAAAGACGTACTCGAAATAAAATGGATGCAGTTCTTGACTTTATTGTACAATTGTGGTTTTTGGACTTTTGTTGTCAAAAAGTGAGAATTAAGGTCATAAATGAGTTATTGGAATATTATCAGAAATGCACTTGCATAAAAAATGTAGGGAAAAAAAGACAGACCCCGCTGGGGCCTAGAAACATAAAGCTAAAGATCATGTTATGTTAAATTCTCAGGATGTTTTAAGTGCCAACAACATTTCTGTAAACCTCGGAAAACAAAATTGTTCTGAAAGTCCTGAAAGTCATCCTATTCAACAACATGACTTGGCCTACTGAAATGATTAAGTTCCCACAACCTAAACTTGAATGTTTGGGAAATGTTTAGAGCGTTTTAGAACATTAATATATTAGCTAGGAGGACGTATATTACATTTAAATAAGCATTAGTTTAAGAAGAATATTCGTAAATATGACTGATGTTTGTGGCCGCTCTGCGCGAGAGGCTGTTTTTGCCAAGAGGAGCAGCATAATCGCGCGAGCTGCGTGGGTAACGTAACAGGATTGCTCGGGGCTTTGACGGAGGATGTGTTGGCCACCGCCTAGCGGGTAAACCCTTCCCCCGCACGCAAGCATCATCCCCGGGGGAGGCGACCTGGAGGTCACGGCGCTGGGGAACGCTCTTAAAGAGCTCTGGAACGTGCTCAGAGTCCTATATTCACAGGCGAACGATTCGTGCTTTAACAAAATTGGGGAATAGAGTTCGTATAAGAAGTCTAGTATCAAATATAAGGGGATGCACGGGTCCTGTAAAAAAAAAAGACTTTAATATTATTTATGTTTAACATTAGAAAGTAGGCCTAAATGTTACCACCATTAAAATGGTCATATTCAGTTCTGTTTCTAAAGAGATCCAGAAATGTTTTCCAGTTTGATATCTAATCTTTTTAAGTTATATGATGTTGTCTGATATTTTGGTCAAAATGGTGTTTTTGTCAAATAAATCAGAAAATCTAAATCAAGTATGTTAAACAAGTTCTCATTGATCTGGATCTCTCAAGCAAGTTAGCTCAAATATTGTTATTAAGTAATCCAACTAGTATTGACCAGTAGCAAGTATAAGACCCACATTCAATCAAAACAGACACTATTTGAAGACTATAAAATGTAGCCTACAATTCTGAAGAGATAATAAAAGACAACGATAATGTTATCTACTGATAAGAAAGAGACATTGCGTCTTTGAGAGCAGCGCTCAAATATGTGAGAATGTAATGTATTGAGTTGGTGATGTGTTCAGTCTGACATAGGCCTACATATTTAAACAACGGGTCCCCACAATCCCCTCAAATGAATCCTGAAATAAACAGGCCATTAGGCCTAATTTAACACAGCGAGGGCCTTATATGATATTAGAATTCTTCAGCTGACACAAACGCTCCCCATTCATTCAAATCTAAATAAATAAGAGGCGAGTTTGGTGGGCTTTTGTATTGTTGTTTAATCTGATCTCTTCAAGGCCGCCCCTACCTTCCCCCATGCAGCCTTCATTTATACATGCATGGGGTCTCTCTCTCTCCCCCCGTCCCACCCTCTCCAGCTCTCCATTGTGTTCAGTGCCCGAGGCGCTGTGCTTCGCGTTTTCTCGCGGAATAAAGAGACAGAGGAAGGGGAAGAGACGAGTGAGTGGCCAACAGCGCCGGTGTTAATGTCCGCTCATCGAGACATTGTCACTTGCAGGCGTGATCTGTCATTCAAACCCTTCAGACCAGCAGAGAACGGGCCGAGCCACCGTCTGCACTTATGAAAACAGTAGAATTGCTCCTGAAATACGTAATATGTGCCTATCTATCTATCTATCTATCTATCTATCTATCTATCTGTCTGTCTGTCTGTCTGTCTGTCTGTCTGTCTGTCTGTCTGTCTGTCTATCTATCTATCTATCTATCTGCCTATCTATCTATCTATCTATCTGTCTGTCTGTCTGTCTGTCTGTCTGTCTGTCTGTCTATGTATGTTCTATTGCTCTTATCATTCTCGTTCTGTAAATAAATCTTAAAAAAATAAAAAGCTTTACATTGCTTTGCTATTCAGAATACATTAAAATAAAAAATAAAAAAAACAATTAAAACTGAAAAATACAATAATTACTAGAAAAATACAAATTAATCTCATTAAAAATCCGAAATGGTTGAAAACAGAAGTGTTTGACTGAATGAATGAATGAATAATTATTTTCTATAATACTAAACACATTAAAAGATCTATAAAAATAATTATGCAAAAACACAATTAATTAAAAAAAGGTCCGAAATTGTTAAAAACTGACATTTTTGCCTTACATAGCTTGGTACAATGTTTTATTATTATAACTTAAAAATATAAATAAATAAATACATTTCTGCTTATATAATAATAATAATACAAAAAGATTATTTAAAAAACAACAACTAAAAGGCTGCTATTGTCGAAAACAGCAGTGCTTATAGCTTGGTACAATATTTTGTTATTGTATCTTTTAAATAAATAAATATTCAAACACATTTAGCTTCTTTTTTTTTTTTAAATAATACTATAATAATCATTTTTTCAATTTTTTTTATATCACATATTTATTGAGAGGTATGTTTAGGTCACATGGAGTAACCCTAAAAAAATATTCATAAATAATTCATATTTATGATTCATAAATACATAAAAAAAAATGTTTGACAACTTTTTTTAATGATGATGATGATGCTGATAATAATGAATAATTCACATGCTCAGATGGATGACACGGAACTCCAGACTTCTGCAGCGTTGCACTATCAGGGTCCTTGCGTTGGGTGGGCCGATGGCTGGCTCAGTCTAATTGTCGGCTATTGAATTACCTGTGAATGTGAGAATCAGAGGAGGCGTGTCACGGGGTCACTCCAGTCCCGCTGCTGAGGGCGAGAACAAGATCTCATCCGCGGGCAACAGGCTTTTGAAACGAGCGTGTTAAATGCATTAAGTTTTGGGTGATTTTCTGATGTTCGTTATTGACTGAAAGAGCAAAGCAAATGATGTCTGTATATTAGAAGGTTAATTGCAGTAGACTATAACATGATAAACATCTTAAACTAGCATTTTGCTAGTGCTTTTACAATTATATAGAAATCCTATGCTTGTAAGTATATAATTCTGCATGCAGCTGTTATGTCATTGATTGAAATAGCATATGCACTTTCTTGATGTCAATCTCAATGTTTTCTCAATGAGTCTCAATGCATGGACTCCTCGTGGCCTATTTTTGAAAAGTAGAATGCCATAATTTAACATATGCAGCAGTAGGCTACCCTATATTTAATTTAATTACTGAACATATTCTCATCGTCTGATTCATTATTAGTGGAATCTGATGATCAGCCTACAGCTCAACCAAGATATTTGTATATAAATACCTATCATGCATGCAGCCTTTTTTCTTCAATGTCAACCCAGACTTTATTTTCAATATATTACTCTGACTTCTTGATTTATTTTGAAATATCATGAGTCATATAAGGCTTCTCGGCTGAACATCTGGTGGAGGTCTGCGTTGGGAGACGGTGTAAATAATCTCTCGGGGGCTGCTGGCTCGTGGAGATCAACGCGGGCGATTCGAGCGGTCAGTGACGGAGCGAGAGCGCCTCCAAGTGGACAACGATGATATTACAAGAAAACCAGCAAAGTCGAAGAGGACGATCAACGACATGGGGCTTGGAAAAGCAAGATCAAGTTCCTGCGTTTGTATTCAAATAATAGAAACAAGATATAGGCTATACATTATATCATCTACAAATTGCTAGTTTAACTGAAGTAGTGTTTTAAAATTATTATTCTGGCTTTGAGTTGCAATCAAATCAAAGTGTATTTATCAATGATAGCTCTAATTATACATAATTTTTATAAGGCTGGCTATTATTTAAGTATTTCACTAGAAGATCAACCTTAGTCAGGTTAGAAGCCATAGTGAATTTAACGAGGGACGTTACAATGTCACACCAAAATCCCCTACTCACAACTTACAAAACTGTTTTATTATGTTTTCGTCTACTTGTATCTACTTTGTTTCAGCTGAGCAATCGTGTTTATCGACAGTATGCATGCAACAACGGCTAACTCTATCCCTCACAGTTTTCATTCCTGTCAGAAATTAGCTGTAAGTGTAAAAAATGTAAATCATAAAACTTAGGCTATAGAAATTTTAAAGTTACGAGAAAGGTAAAAGTTTAGGACTAACCACTGATCTACAGGACTAAAAGTTTAGGACTACCCACCACTGATACATATATATATATATATTTGTATTATATTATACTCATTTGAATTAGTATTATATTAGGCTAGATTGATTAAATGAGGTTTAAAAGTCCCGCAGTGAAAGCCGAAGCGCTACAGGAACAGCAGAACGGCATGATATATTATATTGTTTTTTTCTCTGATGTTTTATCTATTAATCCTCAAGTAGTTTATTATTGATTGGTATTTTGTATGTTTTTTACGTACTGTTTTTTACTGTTTGTTTGGTACGTACTGTAATCCTTGTTGTTTACTGCAATAAAAAAATGTAAAAAACTCTTGAAACGCAACTTATAAAAAAACACACAAAAAAACAGCAGGACGTCATGACGCACGACGTCAAGTGGTCATGTGACCGGTATTGCGCGGAAGCGGAGTCCATCAGAAGAATCCTCCCGAGATGAATCGAGCATTTATCAACACGGTGTTTGCGCTTTTAGGCCTTTTATCAGGTAAATTGACGTTATACTTTATCATTTAGATGTACGTGGTTTGATTTTGCCAGGTCGGTGTGTTTTTAGCGATTGTTTAATGAAATAATGGCGACTGCAGTGAGATGCCATAATCCGCAGTCATGTAAATCCATCCAATATCTCTCGTTTATGCATTTAAATTAGTTTAGGTCAAATAATTTATGTGCATTTGCTACGATATCGTGTTTATGCTGTTAGATAAAAATGGTTTTGCTACTAAATGTTGATAATGAATGAGGAAGCCCCAGCAGGTCATGTGACAGTCATGGTTTATTGAACAAATCCTGCATTGTTGATCAATATTATAGTTATGATAGGATTATTGTGGTTTTTAAACCGATCATTGTGTTAGGAAAGGGGTTTTCAATCTTTTAGATGTATGATTATGATGATTAAGTATGATTATTTTCGTGCAACCTGAAACGTGAAAGGCAGATATATATTATGTACAAACCCAATTCCCAAAAAGTCTGGAATCGGGTTTGTAGAACTATCCAAGTTATACTGTGGGAAAATTAATATTATAATTGTGTGTGTGTGATTTTTGGGGGGGAAATCCTTTTGTTTTGTCACGTTACATAATTTTTTTTTATTTTCTGCTCACTATAGGACATACTGATGTATTTATTTATATATTTGTATCAATATATTTATTTCTTTTAAAATTTATTGTAGTCTAATTTTTATTAGGTTAGTTGGTTAAATCATATTTTTATTGTTTATGCATTTTTAAATGTTTTGCATGTTTTTTTCTGTGAACATTTCCACACAGCTCAACATATCTGAATGTCATTGCATTAGACTTCAAAATGTCGAAACAAGTGTGATTTATTGTAAAGAAAGTTTGTGAGAATATATCAGCATTGTTCCCTGTTTTATTTTTCATCAGGGGTTTTGGGTGACAGTTTGACTGTTTTACGCAGCCCGCAGTACGTCACCTTCCGGGATGGACAGTGGCCCATATCGGGAGAAAAGATCCCTGATCTAGTCGCCCTGACCATGGGTTTCTCCATCCATGAGGTTTAACATCTATTTAATCCTGTAATGGCACATGTGATGTCTTCATGTAAACACTGTAGTAAGCTTGTGGTTTTTGTTTGTAGGATCTTGATTGGCCAGGTCTGGCTGCCGGTTCGCTGTTCCAACGCCCGCGTGCAAACGCTCTGATCGTCGTGCGTGGCTTGGACAGCCTCGACTTTCCGAAAAATATTTCCTCTTACCCTCTTGAAAACGTGAGTAATGCATTCTTACGCACATAAGTTATTTTAGGTTTTGTGGTGCATGAATGCAAAAGCAGGTTTTTGTCTCGCACTCTTTCTTGCTTTTATGTCTTTGATTCAACATGTAGGTTGTCAGTTTGACCTTTAAACGAATGAGTGAAGTTAAATAACTCACCTTAGTTTTTAAGTTCCAGAAAATGAGGATGTATTAGGATTGAGTAGCCATGGAGTTTCCCTGCTAGACTTCCCTTATTTTGTATCATGAGACTGATGGCACTTGTTTGTCTATCTATCTGTCTGGTTTCAGCCGGTTCCGTTCACCCTGGACAGTGTGGCAAACACGGTGCATACTCTGTTTGCTGACAGCACCCCTGTGGTCTTGCAGCTCGCCCCAAGTGAGGAGGTGTGACCTCAACGAATTTCTTGACTCAAACACTAACCACATACAAGTGATGCCTGCAAACGCACAAAGTGCTCTGCAGATAAAGATGTACACAAGAAACACTTAAAATCTGATGCAATAAAATGCAAAGTTATCTTGAGATCTTCTGTTCTAAGGATTTTATCAAATGTTAAATTTAAGGCTTGTAGTTATTATATATAAAAAAAAAATATATATATATATATATATATACATATTTGCTGTAGTATTGTAAGAAACTGATTTGCCTTATGTCTTAACTATTATTCTTTTATCTTTTTATTTGTTTTATGCCTCTTTTTAATCTTTCTTATGTGCTGATATGGCATGAAGGTAATCAAAAATATGAAATAATAATGAAATTATATGTTGTTGGTAGTTAGTAAATAAAAATGTTTTGAACCTCGAGCATTCATTTAAGAAATTTCTTGATTGTGCATTTCAGAGGCTGTATATGATGGGAATGGCCAACACAGTGTTTGAGGACCTGCCCGTGACCCTGCAACAGATCCGTGGACGTCTGTCCCAGGACGGATCCGTCCTCACGTCCCTTCCTCTCGTCTCTCTCAGTCGTAATAACGAGGTGAAGACATGGTCACATAACACTTGTGGTCATAATAGCCAATAACACAAATTAGTGGTTTAGTGAACCACAAAACTGAGGTCGACTTTGGCCATAAATGTCAAATAAGTAATTCAAATATCTGTTATTTATGCGTTAGTGTATACAGTATTAACACTCTTTATACAGACATGGGCTGTAACAGTTTCTGAAGCAGTTTTTCGGTCATGTTAGGAAGTGGCTTCTAACTTACTGAAATAATCATGTGAAAGTAGTTGTTACAGATAGAAACCATCGTTCACTAGATGCATGTTGGTTTTTGTTTCCCATCCTAAACTAGACGCTGGTCTAAATATACTGGTTTTAATGTGTTTATGTGGTGTTCTGTGTGTTGCAGGCTGATCTTCTGTTCCTCTCTGAGGTTCAGGTGTTGTACGACATCTCGGCTCTGGTGAGTTTCTCGGTCTGCTCTGAGCCGATACACTTTATGACAGTTTGTTCCATATAAATCAGCCGTGCAAGATTTTATATGGTCATTTTAGTTTTTTTAGTATAAAATCCTTTTTTTTTTTCTTTTTTTTTTAATCTAGCCTTAATGTTTGCATGTGCTTGTTTGGCTCATGCAGTTCATAAATATCTAAAATATATTAATAAATGCATAAAATTAGTTTTTTATTCTTAATTTTCTTTTGATGTTGGTCAAAAAAACTAAATCAAATCTCTGTAATCAGATTAAATTACTGTGGCAAATTTGAAAATAAATTTGTGTGATATTAAAGTATTTTGTGTTGTTTGCTACAGTTGCAGAAACACAAGCATCTGGCTAAAGACCCGGCTCCTGACCTGTACTCTCTAGAGCTCGCAGGGTTGGAGGAGATCGTCCGCCGCTACGGCACAGACTCCCCTCAGTTCACCGACGCTACCAGAATCCTGACGTCTACTCTGCAGAAGGTAACGAGCCTGTGTGCAGTAGATAGTGTTCATTTTATCAGCTATTTTTTATTTAGTCTCAGTCTTAGTTCTGTCAAATGTAACTTTTAGTTTTTATCATATTTAGTCAACTTGTCCTATTTTAGTTTTAATCAAGTTTTAGTTGACTAAATGTCTGAGAATTTTTGTCTAGTTTAAGTCAGCGGAAACTTACACACTTTTGTCATTTTCGTCTTACTGTATAATGGTTAAAATAATGGGAAATTTTTTTTTATTTTGCTAAATTTATTTTTACATTTTATCGGAAGTTGCTCTTTCACTAATAAGCACAAATCAATAGAATATCGACTCGTATGCATGGTATATTTTACCTCATCTAACGTTAGTGTACAGATTTTTAACAGGATATCATATTTGAGGTCTTGACATCTGGCAACCGCAATCATGCACGCTTGCGTAATAGAGTCTTGTCTCCACCTACGAAAATAAAAAAAATGTGTTCTTTTTAACTACATTTTAGTCTCGTCTTTTTTCGTCAACGATATTGCATGTTCATTTAGTCTCCGTTATCAATTAATGACCTTATTATCGTTACGTCATCATCTCGTTTTCATCAGGGGGAAAAACCTTGACGAACATTTTTCGTTATAGTTTTCGTTAACGAAATTAACACTAGCTGTAGAGTTATTATAGTTTACTAAAACATTAAATTTCTGTTACTTTAAATAAAATAAATGTTTATTGAAACAAAATCAAATATACAAAAAAAAGGCAAGGCAACTAGTTTCCAAGGCAACATTTCTCATTATCACAATAAATATTACAATAATTACAGAATTTATTTCTAAAACTTAATCACAAGCAAATGTTATTTAACATTTTTATATAGATGTCATTTTAAAGTTGCTAAAATGTTCTATTAAAAATAAGTAGATTTTTCTGTGATTGTGACTTAAATATTTCCAAAATAAAAAGGGAAGAAAAACCTGTATTTAAAAGAAAAAAGAAAATGAAGCTTAAGTACTTTTAAGGTTTTTTTTTTAACCATAAAAGTGCTTTATTGTTTGCTTTTTCCTTTTGAGTTTAAGCTGAAATATGACACTTTTACTGGGTAAAATTGTTAAAATACAATGAATAAAAATAAATTAAGCCAAAAACATGACAATTACGCATTGCTATTTCATTATTTAGATATTCATTTAGTCATGAACTTAAAATCATTATTGTTCATTAAATTTCATTATTGATTCATTACAATGTATATTCATTTTCATATACAGTTCTCTACTTAGTTCCAGCTACAAAATGTCTTTGTTTTTTACACTAATAATACTTAATATACTTTTATTCAAGAACTTCCACTAGGGAAAAGTAGTTTTCTGACCTAGTATGATGGGGGTTTTTTTGGGTACTTGTCAGCTGGTTAGATTTGGAAGACCAGCTAAACACCAGCTTGGTTGGGGTCCAACTAAATCATGTTAAACCAGCATAGTTCACCACATAAACTAAAAGCTATTACAATCATTTAGCAACTTTGTTTCTCAAAAACTTCAATAATTTACTTTACAATAAACTAATTATACTTGTTAACATGAGTTAATTCATTACGTATCATTAACAATGAACAACAATGTTTACAGTATTTACTAATTCAGGTTAAATGTTAATTCATAAATATACTGATGCTGTTGATTTTGATTCTTACATTAATTTGATGGTAATTTGAAACGTTAAAAATGTATTTGTATATGTAGAATTAACATTAACCAGGATTAATAAGTAATTTAATGTTGACACATTGAACCTTATTGTAAACTGTAACCACATCAATAAAGATTGATCTGTTAACATGTCTAAGGTACTTGGTAGCAACACACAACAAAATTAAATAAGTAAATAACATGGTTTCATTCAAACGGTGATGGAAACACGACCTTTATAAAACATAATCGTACAAAAAAAATAAGGGTGGACTCACAGAAGGTGTCAAACTACCACATTTAACAACTTTGTAGACTGCAAGATGTGTTGATCTCTTCTCGTGATTGTCTAGGATGTGGCTTTGGTTTCTGAAGAAGTGCATAAGTGCTGTTTATCTGAATGGGGGTTTCTCCTCTGGAATATGTGGACAGCTCGATTTCAGAATACTACGAGAACAATAACAATGAAATTAGGCACTTTATAAACCTCTTCACGGCATGTGAACACGGTTTGGTTGATTTTGTTAAACATTTGGGAATTCGTTGAGCATCCAGTAGTTATTTTAGCGAACTCTTGTGTTTCACGGTTGCTAAAGATGTTTCGCAAAACGTCATGAGTTTTAAACTCTGATGAATGATGCTGTCACCATCATTTCACAACTAATGAGTTTCTAAACACCTCCAGCTACTTGAGAAACGCTAGGAAGAACTTTAGTTGTTGCCGGGAAATTTGGGAAACATTTTGTACGATGAACTTGAAATGGTGATTGAATCATTCAGCAATATAAGTCTTACCTGTGCCGTGTTTAAGGCCTCAAGCGACGCTGGTGTGACATTCTGTGGTTGTTGTCGACTTTTTCTTGGCTTCTTAAGTTTGAGCATTAACAGACCTGAAGTAGCGCATTACATTTTGGTTGTTATCATCATGAAATTAATATAATACACATACATAATGAAACAATACTTCAGTACATTTCAAAGAAACTCTTCATAAAGGAATACACTAAACTTAATTTCAATGAAACCGAGGAGATTCATTTGAACATTTGATCATGTTTTTTGTACTTTCAACTTGATTGTATCAGATATCTCACCTATTATTGCAATAATCAGCACAGTGTTCAATAGGAAGGATGTAACGGTCAGAATCCTGTGAAAATTGGGTCTTGTTTCACAATGTGTTTGATTATGATTGTTGCATTCTGTTTGATTTTGGTCATGGGCAGATTCTGTTTAAATAGAAGAGTTGTAAGTTTTGTGCTTTTAGTGCCAAATATGATTAAAAACCTCTGATAAAGGAAAAAAAAACATTTATCTCAGTAATGCTGGGTACACATTATACAAGATAATCAGGCTGATTTTGGGCCGATTTCTCCCCTTCTGACAATCCTAGGTAAAGTCCCGATTATCTCGGTGGTTGTACAGATTATTTGATCAGATTTTCCTGTGGTGTGAGGTGTGTTAAGAGTGTCTGAATCTGCTCGGAAGAACGTCGGAGGCGCCCGATCGCGGATCAGAAATCCTGATGTGTGGGGGGAACATCGCGGCACACCACACACTATAGGAGCAAAACGGTTAAATCTAGGATTTTTTTCTCCTCGTGTTTGTGGTCTCTCACATTTTAAAGATCTTATAAGATTTTAAAAAATCTTTTAGTGTGTACCCAGCATAAACGTAGCTATAAACGTAGTATATTCTAACACTTGATGTGTTAATTATAAATCTAATTTAGAAATACTTACCAGTAGTGTAAAGTCTGGTGCCATTGCTGAGCTGTAGAGTCCTGCCTGCTTTTGCACAATAATATATTCCTATTTCATTGATAGTTATGTTCCTAATAAATAAACGGCTTAAAGTTTGTAATGAACATTTGTCTTTAAATCTTTTATCATAAAACTGAGGTGTTGTAGATTCTGATGTGAAGGTCCGCAGTATTAGCACTGGAGAATCTGTCAGGTTCTGGAAAACCCAGTAAATATCTTTTACATCAATCTGACAGTCTAAAGACACGTTTTGCCCTAAATTCACCCGTTTAGAAATTAAACACTGTGCAGTTTGACACCACACCAGTAGAACTGTGAAGATAAAACACATATAGTAAAGCACAAAACTCTTGAAATCAATCTTGAAAACTATTCAGTCATGTGAAGAGCACTCTGAAATTACACTGAGTAACTTACAGAAGAGTAAAAGCGGCGGCGTCCTCATTCTGTGGTTGTTTTGCTCATATGCAGTAAGATGGTTAACTTAACTACGAATCTGAGCGGAAGTGCTAACACAGATGTGCAGAAAAAAATTTAAAAGGAAACCACCAGACACCCTTGAAAAGAGGAAGTTGAACTTGCACTGACCAGACTGTTTACTGCTATTAAAGCATTTCAGAAGATCAAAGTGCATGAGATAAAGTGTTTGATTTGGCAAAGTAACTTCAACTGTCAATAGGTTTTACTTTTGATTAATTAAATTGCTATAATATATTTATAATAATATAATATTATTAGCACCTGAACTATAGGTCTAATTCTGAAGCAGATTTTTTGTTTTCCGAGCAAAACTTCAGGCCAAACTTGTAAGCTAATGTGTCTGGGTGTTTTCTGACAGTGCCAGCATGTGGTTTTGCTGACCTAGTTTCACGCTAGCAAGTGTGGATTTCAGACACGTTAAAGGTGCAATAGGTGATTGTCTTCAGAAACATTTTTTGTTATGCTGGTTGAAAGTCTCTTCACATCCCAATAGCACTCATTAAGTTAAGTGGTCTAAATGTATTTGTCTGTATTTATATATTCTGTGGAAGGTGTAGGATCAAGAAATGTTTGAGCGTTTTAATATGCTTTCCTACCTGCCTGTCAACGTATGTATTAGCATAACTCTGCGCACCCGGTTCGCGCAGACAGGATACGTCATCAGCGCGTTCAAGCAGGTAAACATCAACAACCCAATCTTTCTTCCTGGTATTGTAGTACTTTTAAAGTTTTCTCACCGGTGAATGACACATGATGTAGCCCAGCGGTTTACCTAGTCCTCGCGCCAGCTCGTTATAAGTGAGCTCCGTGCATGAACTGTTTTCCGATCGATATGATCCCTACACAGTGTTCATTGCTCCCTACTCCCTGAGCGGGGGAAATCCGTTGACGTTTACTTCACTTCGGAACATGGGCTGGAATTGGGAACCTGATGTAGCCTATTGTAGTAATGTTGTCTCTGGTCTGTGAGTGTAAATGCGTTCAGGGGGCGTGGCTTTGGACGGCGATTGCAGGGAGGGTGGGACGTTCGCTTTCAGTGCTATCAAGCTAAAGTTAGCATTTTCAAAGATCTCCTACTGCACCTTTAACTGTCAGTTCCACTTTTTGAGCATAGACCCGAAAAGGACACTTCCAACTTAAATTGTTATAAATTGTGAATGCTTTGGAGCACAGACTTAAGGTTGGTCTCTTTTCAAAGAAGACACTTTGCAGATTATTGTCGAAGTGAAAAGTTATCAAATGTATATTACAAAAAAGTTATGGAAGTTTAAGTTTATGAAAATATAAAATGTAAATATTAAAATATTCATATTTTATATTAAAAAATATATATTACAAAGCATGTTTTACTCTAAAACTGCTAGAAAACTGCTTTGTGTTCCAAATTTGAGGTTGATATCTCAAAAAATTTGATTTTGTATGGGCGTAGTATCCCTCAATCCCTCATCAAACCCCATTAGTAACCATATAAGGGCGCCTCCATTTCCATATATGGTTTGAGTGATCTGAAACATGTTTTTCCATACTTTTCTCAATAATTATTAAGTAGACATCACATTCAGAAGTATTAAGGGCAGTATTTGAATTCAATTCAACGTCTAAAAAAACACAAAAAAGGCATACGACGAGAACCTTAGACCTATGTTACAGTTCACGCTGCATCGCTGCATGCTGTTTTTTTCTTTTTAGTCAAAAGTCAAGTCAAGTCACCTTTATTTATATAGCGCTTTTAACAATACAGATTGTGTCAAAGCAACTGAACAGCATTAATTAGGAAAATAGTGTGTCAATAATGCAAAATGACAATCGTAAACACTTTTAGACCTTTTTTTCCCTCCAGAAATAGAATGGATGTTATCTTTTGAACACTTAAACACCAAAGTATAAAAAAGTTGCGCTTATCCCACAAACCCACACAGGGCTCAGGTGCAGGACAAAAAAAAAAAGGTGACAGTGAAAGTGACATATCCTTGGAATTAGTGCTCTGCATTTAACCCATCCAAAGTGCACACACACAGCAGTGAACACACACACACCGTGAGCACACACCCGGAGCAGTGGGCAGCCATTTATGCTGCGGCGCCCGGGGAGCAGTTGGGGGTTCGGTGCCTTGCTCAAGGGCACCTCAGTCGTGGTATTGAAGGTGGAAGAGAGCGCTGTACATTCACTCCCCCCACCTACAATCCCTGCCGGTACGAGACTCGAACCCACAACCTTTGGGCTACGAGCCCAACTCTCTAGCCATTAGGCCACGACTTCTATACAACAATACAACGTATTGTCCGTTTGTATTGTCATGTATTGTGACATCTTCGTCAGGCACAAAATTCGATGAAGACCTGATGGTCGAAACGTTGTAATAAATAATTCTTATGGAGCAGTTATATCAGTGTGCGGACAGTACGTTTGTATTTTTGCTATATCTTTTGAACACTTGACATGAAAATGAATGGAGGTTTTTACTGATTTTTCATGATTTCATATGTGCATCACTATTTCAAAAGGTCAGAACTCGCTCTCTGACTCTGATGAGTACTCTTCTTGCAGATTAATAAATTACAATAGCTCTGTACAATATTTAATAAATGACCAAATATGAAAACTAGAGTCTTTAGGCTTTCAAATGATATAGTTTGTCAAGATTACTTTAGGTTCAGACTAAGATATTACTGTTTAAAACATGTAACGACAAGTGGGCCCACCGGTGGGCCAGTGACAGTTAACAGGTATGCCATAGTCTTCTTAGCCGCATTGCTATTTGATACGCCTCTGGAACATGGATACAGATAACACTCCAAATAGTAGAGAGAACATCTGGCAATGTTCTCCTTAAGTTATGAACAAACATTCTTTTAGTAACATTAATAGAATGTTCATTCAAAGTTATGGTCTTTAATAACGTTCTAAAAACGTTAGCATAAAAATGCTATTTTTAACGCTAAACATTTTTGTTCTATAACGTTTTAGTTGGAGGTTTGTCTAATGGGTTTTATTTTTACTACTTGTTTCAGAAAGTTCGGGAACATTCAAAAGGAACATTTCCCAAAATGTTGTCAAAATTATAAAATAAAATAATAATCCCTTAACATTTGTATGACCAAGAATTTATTTTTTTTAACATTGAACATTTCGAACGTCCAGGGAACGTTAAGAAATAAAGTTTTCCAATAACGGGAACATTAGCAAAACATTGTTATAACATATTTTTGTCAGCTGGGATGCAAGATTGTATCCCTCAGAATCCTACCCTTCTTGGACCTGCGATTCTTTTGACTGAACAAATCCAGCTATTGGTAAGTATGTAATTACAACAATACATTATTGAATATTTCTTCTGTATGTGTTAAGTTTGTTGGCAAACTAAGCCTTCTGGATTTACAGGATGACCAATCTGAAGATTCAAATGAGCCGATCGACTTCACCTCAAATAACAGTTCATTTCTAAAACCCATAGCTAGCTTTACCAGATTCGACCAAACAAATAATACAAATTTATATACTGGCACAGAAATATATGCAAAATAGTTAGCTTATAAGGCCATTAGCCTACTCAAAAGCCTCAGAACCGAACTTGTGTAATTCAATAAAACTTGGTGTATTAAAACAATCACACATGAGATGATTTTTAACACGTTTATTAATTGTAGTCTAATATATTTTATTGACAAATATCCGGATCAGTGTGAGTGAAGTTTACTTAAAGGGGTCATATGATGCGATTTCAATTTTTCCTTTCTCTTTGGAGTGTTACAAGCTCTTGGTGCATAAAGAAGATCTGTAAAGTTGCAAAGACTAAAGTCTCAAAACCAAAGAGATATTCTTTATGAAAGTTAAGAGTCAGCCACGCCTACCTAAAACGGCTCGTTCTAACACGCCCCCACATGTCTACATCACTATGTGGGAAGATTTGCATAACGCCGCCCAAATGTTCACGCAAAGAAAGAAGGCGTAACTTTTATTCTTGCTGTAGTATTGTTGACGCTGCACTACTTTCACCGTGAACATAGAGCATAGAGGAGAAACAATAATGTACAGTATGTGGAAAATAATGTGTTTTTTTTACTTTAAACCGCATAAACACATTTCATTACACCAAATACACAAAATAATGTTCTTTTTAGCAGCATCATATGACCCATTTAA